AACTGGTGATGGTCTCTACATTCACTGGAGAGTCCCATGCAGCCGAATCCATCACGAAGCAAGTGCAATCTGTTTTAAAGTTACTGACTTCGGTGCGAAATCAAAACGAGGCCAGTAAACTTTGCCCTTAATGGCGCCAGTAACTCGCTTATCCGAACAAGTTATCCGGATAATGGTGCAGATGATAGCATCTGCACCGGTACCAGTAAATTTGACCCCATTATCCGGATAACTCTGGTCCAATATAGTGGAGTCCAGTAACTTTTTTACTGGCTATTGGTACCGGTGCGAACGTTTTTTTTGGAATTCCAGTAAATCGGCCAATAAAATTATTGGGATCTGAGAACTGCTGGTCTTAGAGCATCTGCACCGGTGCCAGCAGTTCTCAGATCCCAATAATTTTATTGGGCGATTTACTGGAATTCCTAAAAAACCGTTCGCACCGGTACCAATAGCCAGTAAAAAAGTTACTGGACTCCACTACTCCAACAAATATTCCAGTAAATTTGTTGGAATTTTTGTTGGAGTACTGGACTCCAGTAAGTCAACTGACCAATCATAATCATCTGTGACTCGATCGATTGCGTGGCTTTGTTATGCAAATTAATAATCTAAGCCTCTATAAATTAATATTTCCAGAATGAAATGAATTTGGGTTCGTCCGGAAGAATTTGACGAGTTTATTTTCGTTTGCGATATTTTTGGCAGTCATCTATTGACTGGCGAGGGGCCCGCATCCGGATTGATAAATCCATGTCAGAACAATTCCCCGAGTGAGTGTGTGACACCCACTCAATAGACTTACTTGTGATGATGACCGTGTGGATGAGCGCCGGAATGAATGTACTTCCATTTGACAGTGAATACAGTATTATCATTACTTCCTGTTACTGTTAATCTGTAGTACGGCTTCACGTCAATACTGTAATACGTACTTAAGTACCGTTACTATTAAAACTGTAGTTAGTATTCAATACTGTAATACGGTACTGTAATATGCAGTTGTGCTATCCTTGAACCTGTGAAACTAAATGAAGCGATCAGTATTGCAAATTCTGTTGACATTCCCCGAGTGAGTGGGTGACACCCCCACTCAACCCACTCACTCAGGGATTTTGGTACTATTGACCTAAACGTCCCTGAGTAAGTGGGTGGGACTAATTGCTTGCTACGATAAGTACAATCCTATCGTTAACACGTGAAACACGAAGGCATACAACGTTGTACACCGTTAATCGTACCAACGGTGAATGCTACGCACTGTAGGGAGGCAGTTTTTCACTACACCTTTTTTCTATTGACTTGGGACTTTTTTCAACGTTGTTGGCTTGGCGCTCATTCGAAAGGGCGATGTGTCCATCCATTTGGCCTTGTGGCCAATAGAATTGACACGTCGTTCCGCAACACCGTTTGAAATGTACCATGCTACCAATGGAAAAGGCTCCACTACTCAACAATATGCCAAGTACCATTTCGAATCTGCCGTGCTTGAAGTTGAATTGGATCGAATATTCTAGAAGGTTGCAGTTGGGCGATCCCCATTTTTTTCACTTTTCAAAATCGCATTCCGTGCAACAATGGAAAACGGTGCACCATCGACACCAGTACGACGTCGTCGCTCACGATACACTAGCTATGTTCATAGCCACGCAATAAATACAAGCGCATTTCCTCGTCTGGAGTTCTTCTATTCGAAATGCTACTTGGCATATTCTTGGGTAGTGGAGCCTTTTCCATTGGTAGCATGGTACATTTCAAAGGGTGTTGCGGCACGACGTGTCTATTCTATTGGCCACAAGGCCAAATGAATGGACACATCGCTCTTTCGAATGAGCGCCAAGCCAACAACGTTGAAAAAAGTCCCAAGTCAATAGAAAAAAGGTGTAGTGGTGTTTTGGGGTTTTGCTCATGGATGTTCAGGTAGAGTTAGACATGGGGATTCACTCGTGGTTAAATGGTGTGGTTGAGTTTTACTTAGTGGGCATTACTGGGTTGTTGCTTCATAGTCGAGCAGCCCAGTAAGTGTAAGTTTATATCCCTCCATCATAGTTAAACATAAAACAAGCAAAGAAGCAGTGGGCCCTATGTCTTTTCGAAGGCAATCGTGTTAGAGTTTTACTAGCTAGTGTAGTCACATCTCATTAGCTAAATCCTAGGCACATAGGGCACAGCGTATCACCAATATACACGTAGCTATCCCCCTGTACTTCTTGCATTCTTGATATTGATATTGATATTACGGTGTAAAGTTACAATCACTCAGCGGCCACTTAATGGCCTCGGCCGCGTACTAGGTGGTTCTCACCTAGCGGACGTAACGGGGAGAGGGGAGTTTGGTGGGCCCTCCACTGCGGAGTCGTTATTGGTGGTTGATGTGGTTTGTCCACAAGCACGGGCGCTAGTGACGAGTGGTTCCAATAATTGGCTACCGCGGGGGGCGTCGAGGGTGGACGCATCGACCACTGGAGGATGGGCAGTGGATTGAAGAGAAACCCAAATCCTGGGCATGACCACAAAGGCCAAAAATGTTGTTGCTCGTTGATACCGCATTGCGGAAGAGAAAGCCGTGCTTCGGCTTTCGAATACCCACTGATGGCAGTTGTGTATGGGCCGTATACCGGCGGTGAGAGTGGTGGGCTTGTAGTCACGATGGTTCAGGGGCGCATGACGCAGTGGTGTATTCCGGTGGAGGGACCCAATGCCTGATTGTGAACCGGATGCTCTTGACTTTAGTGCAGGTGAAGGCTTGTTGTGGCGGGACAGTTGTGGCTACTGCATGAGACGTGTAGGGTACGGCTGGTTTGTTGGCCCAGTGCTGAATAGGAAACAACGTTGTTGCAGCAGCCGATTTCGGGGTTTCAGGGTTTCGGCAATTCCTTGAAGTATACTGAAACGAGATTATTTCCAGAAAATTATGCTTTACTTGATTTTCAAACGTTTGATAGTTGAAAATTTATTGTTTGAAGCCTTGATGACCTCCCGTTCCAAAAAGAAGCGTCGTGGATACTTTATTGGAAAGAATAAAAAGTGAGTGTTGGTCATGGATTGAAAGTGCAGAGCAGAGCGGCGCACTTACATTTGTATAAGACTAGGGTGGGTGGGGATTACGGCCGAAGGCCGTACGCGCTGCGTGCGTAATCCCCACCACAGTAGATCCAAGGTGTACGTGTTTACTAGCGATAGTACCATAGTCATAATTGAGCACTTTACGAAATTCTAAACGAAAATTATCGCTCAATAAGTGAAAAAACTTCGACGGATCTCTTGGGGTGTAATGCGAGCCCATGCTTTGATACCACGCTGAACCATGGCCAAACGCTTCCGTTGGGCGGTCACAGTCATCATGTCGACATCTTCTTCCTCGTCGTCGCCTTGAATCAATTCCTCTTCGAGCCAAAGGTCGCGTAAATGCCTCTTGAAAGGTGCCATGATGCCGACGTCGAGCGGCTGTACGGCACTGGTCGCATTCGGTGGGATTGGCGCGACAAGACAACCGACTTCTTCTGTCGCAATACGAACGCCATGATCGCTAACATGAGAATCAAAGCTGTCAAGCAACAAGACGGACGGCGCGTGGACTTGT